GGGGGGGGGGGGGGGGGGGGGGGGGGGGGGGGGGGGGGGGGGGCAACCAACTGCTGCATGTAGACGATTGGTACACAAAAGAGAGGGAGAATGAGTAAAAGAGCGAGTGCATGAGCAAAAGAGCGAGAGAATGAGACAGAGCGCGCGCGAGAGAGAGGCAAAGGCAGAGAAGAAAAGCAAACGAGATAGGAAGAAAAAAACTCAATCAGAGGCAACACAGTAGCTACAGTCGTACCACGGTGCGTGGAAGGCTACGAAAGTGAAGTCGTGTTCCAGCAGCCAAGTGTCGAAGTTCTCCTCCGTCAGCACCGCGGCGTGAACGCCGTTTTCGTGCAAGTCCTGGTCAAGGGCGCCGGAAATGAGGAAAAAGCCGAAAAGAAAGAAAAAAAAGCTCTGCGTATCGTCAAGTCGTCGTGTGGTACAGGACAGACAGAAGGCCAGCCGGCAACTTCGAACGAGGCGTTGGTTTGGTACCAAAAAAAATTCGTGCTCCCTACTTGAGACGAAATGAGTACGAAAACACCGACATCGCAAAACCTAGCTTGGTTGTTCGGCTACTTGACCAATAGCAGCAGAAGCAACGACGACGACGATAGCACCACCACCAAGAAACAGCACCAACCATACAGAAACGCGACCGACCACTGGCAAGCAGCAAGGACGGCCTCGCGATGGAACACCCCAAAAGGGAAACTGAGCTCTCCACGCGGCACGATAGTTCCCACAGGAGCAGCGGCATACGCATGCTTCACCACCAAAGACAAAGAACGGACTGCAATGTTCCGCGCATACCGGAGCCTCCGTCCATCCTCACCACAAGTCCTTCGTCCAACCCTGAGCTCAACCGCGTACAACCACGCCTCTATCTCAATCATCACCTTGTGTAACCGCCTTCTCTCAGCTCTTTTTACCCCCTGCAATCCGAACCTCACCTGTAGACTAGCCACGACCGCCTCGTCGAACTGCACGATGTCCCTTTGCTGACGGTTTCGCCCGTGGAACGCCTTATTTTCAAACCGCCGGCCGGCCGCACAAGACGGAGAAAAAAGAAAAAGAAAAAGACGGCCCAGAAACGGAGACAAAAAGCGTCATCAGCACACACACCGCAGATACAGCGGCAGCAGCAGCAGCAGCAGCAGCAGCAGCAGCAGCAGCAGCAGCAGCAGCAGCAGCAGCAGTCACACCGTCACACAACGTAGTGCAACAAAGAATAATGCACGTGCTGCGACACACGGCACTGGCACTGCGCCCGAAGCCGCCGCGCGCCCCAGCGTGTCACCGTCAGGAGATTCTGCAACACTCGCAACCGCAACCACAACATGGAAAAAACAAAAATTAAGAACCCCAGTTGTGCGATCGGTCGGAAACACACGCGTACTGTATTTCACCTGCTTGACGCCCTGTGGATCCAAGTGCCACTTCTGCACTTCCTTTCCTGATGACGAAGGGGGGGGGGGGGGGGG